TTAGCAAGTTTTACTTTTTAAAATTTGAAAAGTTTATCAATTTAGAATTATAATTTTTTCATACCCAGCCAGATGGTTTCAGCATCACAGTTGTCTTTTAGCACATCTGGATCAAAGGGATTATACTGCAAAGTGTTGATTCAGGTTGCACATTTTGACTGCTTACTGATGAAAACTCCAGTCTGTTCCTTTGGCGGTTATTAAAAACTTATCGAGAAAACAAATCATTTATCTGACAGTATTCAACTTACATGTGAATTTTATAGACTTCTCTGAAAATTTTAGACCTTCCTTTTTATAAATTACTTCCAAACAAAAACTAATAAATGAATGTGTGCTGTAAACAAGAACTTAGAATCAGTGTCCTCAATAATGTTTCATAAAATGAAAATACATATAATAATTGGTCAGCTGTTTTTTTTTGTTTTTTTTTAAAAAGACTTTTTATCATGTTATTTTACACTGTGTGTCATTGCATCAAGTTTGTAGGAAAGACATCAACTCATACTTTAAAAATTATAAACATGGGAGCTATTTTTTCAGTCACTCAATTACAAATCATGAAATGTGCATGATTTTTTTGCTATTTTCTCATTTGTGTGAATAAATTCAATATTGTTTTAAAAGACAAGTACAAAATATCTTTATCAAGAGAATAAGAACTCACTGCATCAATGGTGTCATTGACTCATTCTATGCACTGCCCATAGCAGCCATGTGAATTTTTTTCCCTTCATTTTCGAGATGAGACAAAAGCGTACATAGATCAGATTATACTTCTGCATTTACTCGATGAGCTAACCTTTCATCATGATGTAAATAAATCGTGTCTTCTAAACACAGTAAACAAAAAGTCTCGGTCGGAACGTTTTGTTGCATTTACCTGAAAATCATGGGGTACATCTTGATCTTGTCGTGCATGTTGTACCTAGAAATAAAATCGCCTGCACGGTTGTTGCAAGGTACCAAACAGCATAGATCGGTACACTTCTTGGATACAAAAACAAGTGAATAAAGTGTTTTTTCTTTGAAAATAAAAGAGACTGTCTCTCTGTCAACATGGTGGCGGAAAACGGCCAGGTAATTGTCGTAATTTCCTAATGTCGGAAGAAGATCGAAAAGCCAATGTTGAATGATTTTATCCGAATTCTATTGAAAATTACTTTATTTGTCTATCAATCGTTGCTTATGGTCCATTTAATTACTTTTATAACAAAATGAGACGTAATAATGAGTATCATGACATCAGCAGTGATCAGCCTATTTTCAGCAGTTCGAGTTGCGCGGTAGATTTGATTTCGTCACGTTCGAATCACCTTAATGGACCTGCGTGTCTAGTATAGATAAAAAAAAATTCAGCCTGTCAAAGACAATTGGTGATGTCTCCATATGAGTGATAAAAAATTCTTGAGAGAGAGAGAGAGAGAGAGAGAGAGAGAGAGAGAGAGAGAGAGAGAGAGAGAGAGAGAGAGAGAGAGAGAGATGTCAAACAAAAAACATACAAACAAAAACATACAAGTCAGTTCTCAAATATTCCAATTCTATACAGAGAAACATATGTCCTATACAGGTTACAGCAGTAGTCAGATGATAAATCTATGAAGTCTAATATTTTCTAAAGACGCTGTGTAAAACGTGAATTCAAAATGAATGTTTTAGAAAATAACTGACAAAGTTAGTAATATTCTTTTTCAAAATCAAATACTTACTTTAACCCCATCGGTGTGAGACAACGCCGAAGACATCTACAATGACCTACAAACTGTCTCCAAATTGTCTTATATATATGTAAATTTATATAATCAGGTAAATATCAGGTAACGTCTAACATCTTATTCCTTCACCTACTCCTTTTTCAATCTTTGTAAGACTAAAACGTGACAGACTTTAAAACGTGACTCTAACGTAATGACCTTCAAAAATATATTTTGTATATTTCATTCCATTTCATCATTTTGTCGCTTTCAATGAGGACTACTTATCTTACAAATTTGATTTCTTTTCAATGATCAAAATATTAAACCAAAAATTGGAATATGAATCAATGTAACATTCCTTAATTTAAAAGCTTAGAATTTTTTTCCCGCTTTTGTTCCATTTTACAGACATGACTTCAGACATTGCCATAATTATTTCGTGTTTTGTTTGTGAATAACTTAATTTTGGCCTGCTCCGAGATCTGATTTTTGCAGTTTTAAATTCTGAATACGTTTGAAATAAATTATGGTAATTATGCATATCCTTTGGACTTATTGTTAAATTATTTCTACCGAATTTAGATAGCATGTGACGTTAAACAAAAAAGATGTGACAGGAGTCTACGAACTTTTCGAATAATCCTTGAATTTTGTATTTGATAAATATACTGGATTCTGTGGAAGATTACGCTAGGTGATGGGCAAATCATGAAAGAGTAGACCTTGTTTCCTTGTCAGAAAGGATAAACTTCCCATGGGTACCAACGGCGCCCCGTTATAAGTAGATTTTTTTTGTATTCATTTGAAGAAGAACTTAACCAAAATTTCATACATGATAAGAAGAAAACTCGACATTTAGATATATCGACAATGTATTTGAATTTACAATGGTTATTTCTATGTTCATGTCAATAGGATATATTCCAGTAAACTTGGAATAAAAGATGCCACAGAGTCTGGCACACCTGTTTCCTAATTAGATATTTTACTTGTAAATGATGCAAGTGTTAATCTAACATCCAAGCTTTATAATAATCACTTTAAAGGTACTTGGACACAGATTTGAAGTCAATATTTTCCCTATAATATTACGACTTATATATTTTAATAGTATTTCACACAAAAATTAGTTTAAAAAATTATTCCATTTAAAAGTTATTAAAACTTCAAGTTTTTTGGGCGGGTTTGATTTACACATCCTTGCACTTTCACAAATTTTAACCTTATTCTTAATCCTTAGGAAAAATGGCCACCTTGATGTGCATTAATGAGAAATATTAAAGCTTTATACCAGAAAAATAATTTTATTCAGAGTAGAAATGTTAGAAAGCAGAACTCTTTCACAAGTATTGTCATTCCGAACTAAGAGTTGTGTACAGAGTTTAGCAAATTGAGCACAGTCTTGTTATGTACAGTTTTTGTAAACAGGGCAAAGGTTCTGTTAATGTTGATATTTATAATTCACCGGATGCGTTCCATTGTTACTGTCTGCTTACCACAACTGCACTGACTGACAATATATTGCGTGTTTGTTTTGCTTTCGAACATGTCTACTCTGAATTTTCTGGATTATAGTATTAATATTTTTGTTTATACACAACAAGACTGCCACTTTTCCTAAGGATTAAGAATAAAATTAATTTGTGAAAGTGCAAGGATGTGTCAATCAAACCCGCCAAAAAATTTTAAATTTTAATATCTTTTATATGAAATAAGATTTTTAATTACTTTTGTGTGAAATGCTATTAAAATATATAAGTCGTAATATTATAGGAAAATAATAACTTCAAATTTGTGTCAAAGTACCTTTAACTTATTTATCGTCAACTAGTTATTTCCCTTACATTATTCTTATGGAGCAATATACAATGTACCTTCCACATGCATAAAAGGGGTTTATATTTTTGGTTGATTCCAGATGCAAGAATTTGCCCTAGATGAATTATCAATTTCATTAACGGCGAAAATTGTTCATAAACAGATTGCTGAAGCAAGAATATCAGCAGTCTTGTTTAATGTCTTTAAGGTAGCATTTTTGGAAGCATTTTTTAAGAAAGAACGTCGCACTTTTCCTTGCCTTGCTCTGACTTTCTTCTTTACAATATCTACACACACATATTTTTCAAAATACGTATTTTTTAGCTAAATGACCTTTTTTTGTTATAATTAAAACAAATTCCTTTGTTTGTGAGTTTATCATGACATTTGTTCTAGTGGTGAAGATTTTCTCCACAATAAGGTCATTTCGTGCGATTGTTATCTGCTAAGACTCTGCCCCGGCCTCATGATCTCCAAATTTTATTCTGTTTGGTAGAGTAGGAGCACAGTTTATTATTTGCAAGTGACGTGCAGTTTTAAAAAAAGGCTGTTTATTAATAGTGCCATGTTTAATGTTGCTTGCTACTATGTGGTAATGATATTCATCATATTTATAGCCATGCAAGATTCTGGTAGTTTAATAGGGGCATCTTTGATATTAACATTTGTTTGTCAGCCTCGAAAAACGATGCCGTTCAATTGTGTTTACCGTTAACCCGAACATTGAAGGTTTTTTTTGTTTGCCCACTCTTTAGCCGAATACAGTCTTTCTTTATAACCAGAGTTGCTCTTACGTCTTTAATATCAATCTTTCCTTTTTCCCAGTCTATAACATCTTCGTGAGTTACAGCCTAGAAAAACTTTGTCGAAAACTGTATTGAAAGATTTTCTGTACCTTCTGCATACCGAGTAGTGCTAATTTTATGTAGTTATCAGTAAGATTAACTACCTGCTATCCTTTTGATTTTCAATGTTCAAGATCAGATAATTTGATACCCGCAGTAAGTTGTATCCAGTTGCGGCAGATAATCCACAATGCCTAAAAGCACTAATTCAACAGCATACAGCGGTTCAGAAAAATAAGCAAATAAATAAGCAAGAAGTTGGAGCGACCAATAAAGCCTGTCGTCCGTGACAAACAGAAACAAAGTCAAAATACAAGCAATTTTATTTCAATACTTCAATAACATCACAGTCACACACCAAATAGTAAAGAAATGCATCAATTATTTCATGTGCAGGAAAACATTTCTAAAATAAATAAATAAATAAATAAATAAATAAATAAATAAATAAATAAATAACATGTTTGTTTGCATTAAGAAACTTGTGAAAAAAGAAAACAATCTTAAAGCTTAAAAATATCACAAACACACATTTCGTTTCAGATCATATTATCACATAACATATAACAATAAAAATAGAAGGCTTCTTCAAAATTTCGTCTTAACTTTTTTTTTGATATCGAGGATATCTGTTGAATTTTTATTCATCAAAATGAAAAAAGCCATTCTGCACATGACCAATCCTCTTAACGCTTGCAGCAGGTATGCATTCTTTTGGAACCAATATAATCTCTTCAAATCTTAAGGAGTTTCTTCTTGATCTTTCACTTGTAAGACGCGTTTCTCGGATGCTTGTGTCCGTAAGATCTATTTCTTCAACATCGGTTCCCATTAGGGTGCGGTCAATCCGGACAATGTACCTTAGCTCGTGGCGCCATCCTTTCCGAATAATTCTAGCAAACTCTTTGATCTTGTCTAGTGACTTAGAACAGGAGATGAACTTTGACGCTATACTGCAACTAGACCCTCTACTAACATGGTCTTCAAGGCTTGTACTTGAATGAATATTTTTGGGAAAGATTCCAGTGATATAAGTCTCTGCAGGTCGGAGTAACCTGTACAAATAATTTTCGGATTCTTTCTTATCATCAGGGTCATTCCTGTTTTTAGTTTCGTCATCATTTTTCTCTAAAGACCCAATGACGTCATCGCTACCTCCTGTCTGATTGTGACTTGGAGAAGTTGGTCCATTTTCTTCGATAAATATTTCTTTCACAATCAACGTTGGCTCGCTTACGTTTGTATCGTCATCTTTTTCAATGTAACTGTCGTAATTTTTTAAAGACTCGCTTTCGCCCAGTATTCCGGAATCCAAAGACCTTTCATCGCATTCAGATACTTGACTGGCCTCTCCTTGATGATTCAGAACTTCATCTTCTTTGTTTTTTGGTAGATGTAGTTGTAGTGAAGTTGTACTCTCAGTTTTGGAGTCAAAAATGTTTGAATCCTTCTCCAAGAAAATTGGGCTTGATTCTTTTGAGAGATTTCCAAACTGCTTTTCTATGTATTTTGGCGATTTTGCTTGAATTTTATTTTCACTCTCGAAGTTGTTCGTGCTTCTTACTTCTATAGGTATGTAAATCTTTTTTGAACCCTCTGCATGTTCAATGCAATTTCCATCTTTGACTTCTTTGACATCTGTCAAGTTTGTCGAAGAAGTAGTTTCGGATCCAAAGGATAATATTTCTACAGGAATAGATAATATTTCTTTACTGTGATTGGACTCGACAAAAGATTCACCCCTTTCTCTAATGCAATCAGAAGCCAAGTCCTCCTTATTTCCTCTTTCTTGCTGATCATCATATTTGGACTCGATAATGATTGGCTGGATTTTGAATGCTTGTTGTACGAAAATTTCCTTTCCATGATAAATTGAAGGTTGTAGTGAACCATTTAGATCTGTGTCAGATTGAAGCTTTGGCTTCTTTTCTTCAAATTCACATTCCTCCTCGCCAGAACCTGTTGTTTAAATCATTTATACAAATATTTATAGACATTTAAAGTTCTGAAAGACAATAATACACTGTTTAACACGTAGACGTTTGATGTGTTTTAAAAATTAAATTGTAATGCCATTAAAGATCGAATAAATGCATTCAGTCTAACAAACAATGCAAAAGTTTCTATAGACTCATGAAAAAATCCTATGTATTAAATAATACAATTCATATTTTCCAAACATTACTATCACTGAGCTATACTTTATATTTACATACATACGTTTGCGTTTGTTCCCCGTCGATTGTCTAGGTTCAAAATCCATATTGATTCTTATACATGTATATGCTATCTGAAACAGAATCATTTGAATAAAACAAATACTGAGAGAAATAAAATAATAATTATCTGAAAGCAGGATATTTTGTATTTATGATAATTTAAAAAAATGTAAAGTTTGGCGTTTGATATTTTTAATGGTGTTTTATATTAATTAACAAGTTCTGTTTAATAAAATCATAGCTGCAAATATTTATTAGGCAGCTACTCAGTTCTATGTCTACGCAAATAGAGGAAACCAATATTTAGGTTGAAATACAGTACTTTTCCATTCGTTATATATGAATCTGAATAAACACCAATACTAAATAAAAGTTAATTTTAATGTTTTTGTATTTATTAACAAATCAAAGAGTAAGATCTCCTACAATTCTGTATGTCCTCAAATCTTCATTTCAATAAATCGAAATTGAATTTGGTGACAATTAATTTATACAAATTGGTGTATTATTAAATAAAATCCATATCATCACTGCCTTCTTGAAGATGAAAACAAACTTTATTCAAGAGTAAAGAAAGAAAGTTAGAAGTGTTTTCTTGAAAATTAAAAAAAATAAGTACTTAGTATCTCATATAATTACACAATAAGCCTTTAAGGATTAATGTAAAATTCATAAATTTGCTATATATCTATTTTTTAATTAAATTTTTAATTTAATTACTTTCTGTAATTTGTGATAAATTTTAAGGGATGGTGAAAGAGAACATACCTGTGAAGAGGACGTTGTCACTTTTAATTTTACAAAATTTTATCTGATTAACAAATGTTTATATGGGATGATTTTAGTTACAAAGAAATTGAAGGGAAAGTACAGATTAAAAAGCAGGAAGCTAATTTCAGAAAGTACCCAATGTTTAAAGGACAAACTAATGAATAGATTGCATTTCAATGAATAGAATAGGAGATTTTTAAAATACTTAATCGTTTGCGTGATGTAAGTAGTATTGTTAAGCTCTGAAATTTGACACAGGAGGAAGCATAATGCACATTATGTGAACCATGTCTACGTAGGATTGCCTTTAAAAAAACCTTTGTTGATTTAAATATAACTTCGGGGTTTTTCATACCTAATAATAGATTTCCATTAACATGATTTACGAAAAAGTCCGTTGGATATCCATTTACCTTAAATAACCCGATCTAATTTATATGTATTGCCTTAGAAGAGGTAACCATTTTCAATTTCCGAAAGCCATCAATCTGCTCCACAGCACAATGAGAAAAAATTAAGCTCATTAAGAAGGAAATATAATGAGAAAAATTCATACAAAGCTTTATTTTCAAATAATATGAAGAATGACTTGAAAAATCTTTAATATTTCCTTTTTTTGGGATGGGGGTGGGTCCAATTTTCGTTGTTTGAGGAACATTTCTTTCTTTATGGAGAGATATATTGGACATGCAATGGAAACAAATGTGAAAAACTGAAAATACGTAACAATATAGAGCAGAAAATATTCAAGACCTCAGATGCTTAAAGAATTTAATAATTTTGTGCAGGCCAGAAATGACCCATAATACAAAATTCTTAATTATAGAATGTTTATTATTTTCATCCCTTTTGTTTATAGTTTCTTTTGTACTCGAGATAAATCAATATATGTGCAAATAATTTAAGATTCTAAAAATTGAAGCACATATAAATGTGCTGACGTTTTTCGTACTGCGTGAAATCATTCATCCATGCATAGACACAATTGCAGAACTATACCCCTAACTCCGTTGCAAGGGAATTAAAAGTAGTGGATACTATTCAAGGTTCCTGGTAGAATAGAAATGATTGAAGGTATCATTTCCCTCGTATATGATTAATACTGATAAATTAATATCAATTGAAAACTAATACATATGATTTAGATTTTTGGTAAGATGAACATTAGGATAGAATTGTGAGAAAAACAATGTAAAGAACCAATGAATCAAGTAATAAGAGTAACAAAATACAATATAAACTCTGCCATTGAAGAAAACCCCCCAGAGTATAATGATAGAATTCAATTGTTATGGTCCATTTCAATTGTTGACAATTTTGTGTATCATTTTTGTTATGAAGCGTAGCGTGTCTATGTATATACTCTTCAAAAAAAGAAACGCATAGTTGGAACAATGCCCTGAAAATTTGTTATAATTTTGTCATATCTTTTATTTTTGTATGGATAAGATGTATTCGAGTAAAATAAAAGTTTTTTTAATGCAAATGTTAACTTTACAGCTATTTTACAAGTCTCACGGACAAAAAGACCTGATTTTGAAAAATTTTCCCCAAAATTTTGATCTCGATTTTCATTTGTTGAATTCCGATGCAATTCCTTAATATACAAAGGGGCTATCAAAAGCGGGGGTTCTCGATATTTTGAATCTGGTTTTATCTGAAAAACGACGCTTCCTAAAATTGTTGCATCTGAATGTTGCTTGGCACAAGAAGGAAAATGGGCGACTGGAAGCAGGGTTACCGTAATCTACAATTGCAAGAGGTTTTAATGTTACACACAACCCATATATAACCTATAAACATAAACCATTAACATCGAACACCCGATGTTCGCAAAAATATGGTAGACTACGTGTGACATCAGCAACACAGCATCACTTCTGAGGATTACGCAAATTGCATGAATGTTATGCAAGAACGTCATCTAAAGCATTAGTTATCCCTGAACTGCACAGATCATCTAACAAGACGTGTTCAGTTGACTTTGAATTATTGCCAGAGGATTATTCATGCCATCGTTCCGACCCCACAACACCCCAAATGTCTACTTCAAAGATCTCAGATGAATAGAGCATGACCACAGCATGACTGCTGAACATTTTGGTTAACCTGCTAGTCCAGAATGTTTATCTGAAAGCCTCTTAAAAGTTTAAGAGTGCTAATGCTTTTTAATGAAGGTTAGATAGTTAACTGCCTCCAGGAAGTTCAAAAAGTTGGTGGTGGTAGTGTAATGATATGGAAAATGGTATTTTAAGAAAGTAAGATTGATTTGGTTCGATTTCAATGCACCTTTGATAGAAAAAGGTACTCTAACCATTTTCTACCTACACAAACCAATTTTGCAGCATCCTAGAGCCGTATTGAAATCTCACAATACACAGCCACATTTGACTTATTTGACACACCTATTTCTGCAAAGAAACAACAACCTGTTTTAGTCACAGTCATCTCAATCGCTAGATTTAATCCACATTAATCAGCATTGGACAAAATGGATTGAAATGATTTGCCAAAGACAATCCCATCCCCAGACTCTGCAACAGCTGACTTAAGTTCTACATTTGGAGTAGGAGAGTATTCCTATACAGTTTTTATTACACTCATTTGCTTCCATTATATGCCGTTTGTGGCTATCATTTGTATTTGCGGGGGGCATACCAGATATTGATCTTTAATGGTCCTAAACTGACTAGATTTTAAAATTTTTAAGTAATTATGACATTTAGATAGTATAGACCAATCCACACTTTGCAAAAGTTGTTTCCCTTTGCGGGGTCAACCCAAAGGTCAAAAGGAAAGAAACGTCATTTCTCCTCTTTATGCTACCAAATATTTGGGCGTGCTGTGGAATATCTATGGTTTTTAATTTTTTTTTCCTTCAATGTGTGGGTAGCCCCATCTTTAGGCAATCAGTACACAAAAGGCAAAGCTTTTTTAAAGTCAAATGACGAAGTTACAAACCTCAAAACTACAAAGGCTACTGTGTGGATTCTATGGGTTTATCCCCTAAGATGGTGGCCAAGGGACATACCTTTTGAAAAGTGTGGATTGGTCTATTCCTGTTGCCTGCCACATTTCTGTTTTATCAATGCATCATTTTACTAAATAATCTTTATGTTCAATGTGTCACTTAAATTCTACGATGCGTTTCTTTTTTTGAAGAGTATATTTTACTGCCTTTCTCGCACCTCTAACCTGGTAACATGTAGATTACGATATCAGAGAGTCAGTCATGTCTGTTCCTATTTGGCCTTTTTTGACAATAGAGAATAAAGGCCAGTTAACAACTAAATGTGCTTGTTCTGTGTAGGATTAATTCTTAAAACAAAGAGGTCTGCCGGCGGATGTGAATAATCACCAGGGGATGGTTTTCTCCACTCATAAACTTTATCCTACCTCTTCTTATGCATAGATGGCCCCGTACTTCCAACTACCCTCGATTGTCTATAGCATACCCGGCAAACTAGACTGTGATTACTTATAATTTGATAGTTCTGTGTAAAATAAAATAGTAAAATATAGGTTAAAAAATACATGTACGTGAAAGGTTTTAAATACCGAAGGCCTCACATGTTAGTGCCGCCCATTAACGTTATATAAAAGCAACGCCAAATGAGAGCATCCGCATATATTATTTGAAAAAAGAAGCAGGGTTGACAATTATAAAATAAATGTACAAATTGCTATATACTTGCATTTTATTTCAGAGAGAAAGGACATTTAGACTTCAACCTATGACATAGGGAAAATCGTTTTATATCTGAATTCGAGAAAAAAATACAATTTAAAGGAAGAACAGCTTTATTACAGAAAAGTTTAAGGTATGTCACTCGTCAGTTTTTAGACAAGTTCGGTCAGAATCTTTTCTCAAAACTACAAGTATTTATTATAATTCAACTTTTATCACATATTTGAATGGAAAGATAAAAATTGTTCAACATTACTGAAAGAAAATGCTAAAAAAAAAGCAAAGAAGCAATACAATGTATATAAATGGAATACTTTCTTGTGGTGGTAGGATATTAAACAGAAAGTTTTATGCAAATCTGCATACCTATCAATTTTAATCTCTTATACTTTAAGCCTCACATATTTTAACTCGGAGAAAGGAGTCCGTTATTATAAGCTAGGTATATTTTATTGCATGGGTCTCAATTCACATACTTAGAACAAAATTTACACCTTCCCTCGAAAAAAATTGCCGAGAAATGAAAATTTATCAAAGAAGTCAAGATAAAACTTACATATTTTTTTGCCTGAAAATTGCATACTTTAACCAGTATTTCAAAATTTACATCACTGAACCAAACCATTATTTTTATCCCATGAAATTTGTGACCGATCATCGATTAAATTGTTAAATGTTTGATACAAGAGTATAATTTTACTTCTCATTAGAATTTTAATAGGAATAATGTCACACAATTATTTCCACGCATTAATGTGTTATTATTGATCAATAATGAATATCATTCAAGCTACTTTACGTATTTAAGTACATTGTATATAGTTTTGGTACACCTGATAAGATATGACAAAGGTGAAAGTGATTGCAGGTAAACAAGTTAACATTTAAGTGCAAAAAGGTCAACTTAATTGTTCAGCAGCTAAGCAAGATAAACACTGACCCCATATTTTCTGTCGGATTTTGTGTATACTTTATAAATACTTATTTAAAATGTACTTCTAAAAAATTCTTCATATAACAAATTCCACGAGTGATATACACGTGCCTTAAATGAAAATATGTGTATTATAACAATATGTTTATATTTATTAAAGAAAAATATGTAAAATAAAGGAAGATTCTCAGTTATCTAAAAGGAATATGTACAATATTTGTAGTATAATTATAAATTTGGAAGAGTGTTTATTCTTAACAAAGTTGCTTCCTCAAGCTTGTGGAATGGTGTTTGTTGTAGGGAGTGTCCATAAGACTGGAGAGATCCCGAATAGTCCCCACATATTTGTTGACAGATTCCAAGTATTTGCCACGAAATATCCCTACGGATATGAGGTACATAAATCCCGTCATCATGGAGAAGAAGAGTTTGTAGATCCTGTACATATTTTTGTGATTTTACGGTGTCGCCGAGTTTGTGATGATTCAATATAAACAACATGTGTAACATAACTAGAGGTGGGATTAACAAAAAAATATATGCGATTTTTCCTACTGTTATCCTGCTCTAACACAAGTTCATCTATGTAATTTTCCCTAAAACTTAATTTTATATCTTGCACTACAACTCTCCTCATCTTTGTGCAAAGGGGTTTCCTTTCCATGCACTGCCGGTAAATATCTATATTCACATGTTTATACACTATATACGGCAATAAAATCCTCTCATGTATTTTCTGTAAACAACTGAGTGATTCTTCATATCTACATGTTCTATAGAGGTAGATGGCAAGATATAGAAAGTCAGATAAATATCCAAAATTACAAGAATGTTCTAGCAATTTTAATCCTTTATTAATTTTATAGAAAACGTTATTGGAATTCTCATTTTGGTTTATATTACGTTGTAAGAATATGGCAGTATTTCGTAGCACGTTTGATGTGATACATTGTAAAGTGACTGTCTCATACAATGTAAGTCTTCTCCCAATCATACTTTGTATTTCTTTCATGTAAACTACGAAGTCCTCAATACGATCAATTTCTTGATGACATCCACCTTATTCTTCAAATATCTTTATATAAATTTCAGCGTTAGATATAATACTGTTCTCGTGTGTATGGACTCTTATTGTTCTGTTTAATAAAGCATTACTGAGGTAAAGTCGGATTGTTTCACTTAATAGTAGACACGATATCCCCTTACTATACAATTCATATAACTGACTGAACAACGAGGTTTGTACAGAACCAGTGACTTTCACTCTAAACATGTTGTTTTGTGGAATGAAAAAGTTTGGACATTCTCCAGTACGCACCATGAATATCAATAATTTAAAGCTTTCCAAGAAACAAGACAATACGTTATCAGGTGTCCAAGACAAGGAAGTATTTGTCTGTATGACCCAGTAGACAATAGATTTTATGAAGTATGAGCAGAGAACGGATGTATTAGGCTGACAATTAATTATTTCTTTCAGAAAAAAATTGCATAGCCCATAGCACAAAAACTGACAATGATTCATTGAATATACGAGTTTTTGTTCAGATCGAGAGAATGAGATTCTCCGTTCTAGTTCATTTTCAGGTGAGCTTCCGAGA